GGATTTGGAGAGTTTCATGCGACAGGTCCGGGAACGTTCGGGAACGAAGAGGAGGGGAGGGGGAAAAAGATGAGGGTAGCGGAGGAGGCAGATGGTGGGGACGCTGAGGCGCAACGACGGAGGGCATCGAGATGTTCAACAGTTTCATAATGGAGGTTCGAACTCAATTATGGAGGACTGCCTTGTTTTGTCCTGGAGGTTTTGTTCCCAACCTCGGGGATGGTTCCCAAAAGAGTGTTTGATCTCAGGATTTCTTAGTTGAGCCACGGAAGAACACGGGTTCGAGTGCGCCGACATCGGCGCGTAAGCTCCTTGCGTAATGTCGCGCGTGAGCGCGCTCGTCTCCAATGTAGCGTGCCGCGCTGGCGTTCCGTGTGAGCCACCGCGTAAGGTCGCTGTGCCGCGTCTCACGTGAGACCCCTTTTGGTCGTCGCTCCTTTGTGTCCTGAGAGTTGGGTGGCTGGGCAGTTTTTCCGTCCCTCGGCCTCCCGTGGGCGCCTCGTGGGGGCCTCGGTGCGCTGGCCGTGGGCGCCTGGTTCCTTGGTTCTCGCCCCGTGCCCGCCCGAGGAGGCCTCCTGGGCGCCTCCTGCGCTGGCTGTGTGCGTGTATGCCTCTCGCCCAGCGCCGGCCCTATGGGCGCCTCGTGGGCGCCTCGCGCGCCGGCAGGGCGAGGAGGAGGAGGAGGAGGAGGAGGAGGAGGAGGAGGAGGAGGTGGAGGAGGAGGAGGATGGGCGGAGGAGGAGGAGGAGGAGGAGGAGGAGGAGGGAGGAGCGGAGGAGGAGGAGGAGGAGAAGGAGGAGGAGGAGGAGGAGGCGGAGGAGGTGGAGGAGGTGGAGGAGGCGGAGGAGGAGGAGGTGGAGGAGGAGGAGGAGGAGGAGGAGGAGGAGGCGGAGGAGGAGGAGGAGGAGGAGGAGCAGCAGGAGGAGGCCTGACCTTCGTCCAGTGGCCGCCCGTGGGCGCCTCGTGCGCCGGCCGGGCGCGCCGGGTGCGCGCCCGCGGGCCCGCCGTCGGCGCCCCGGGGGCGCCCCCTGCAGGTGGGCGCCGGCCTCTCGGGGGCGCCGCGGCGTGCCCAGCAGTGGGCGCCTCGTGGCCGCCGCCCCGTGGCGCTGCCGAGGCCTTCTGGGCTGCTGCCCGGCGGCCAGCAGCGTCTGCCTCGTGGGCGCCGCGCGCGACTGCGTTGGCGCTGCTGCACCCACGCAGCGATGTCCCCCTTCGGGGAAAAAAAACTGCCCATGTCGGGGTCGCTCGTCCGGCAGAAGGAGAGCAGACCATCCCAGCCAGGCCAGTATCGACCTTCCCCGCCATCCCTGCCAGATGATACCATTCAGGAGGGAAAGAAGCACACCGACACAATGCATCCTCGATTCCCCAGAAAGTATGGGACGATATGGGAAGTGGGGGAAGACAAAACCACAGAACATCTGGGAACATTTGGAGAATCCTGTTAATTGTGTATATATAAATATATATGTATTTATGTGTGCGTGTGTGTGTGTGTGCGTGTGTGTCAGGGCCCCTTCAATACCGTGTCGTGCACATGCATTGGTCTGACAGTCTGGGGCCGCAGGAGCTGTTACCGAACATGGTACCCTGCGGGCCGCCCGCGCGCGGAGGAGTGAGGGGCGAAGAGGGAGGAGCAGGGGGGAGGAGGATGAGGAGGGCGGTGAGGAGGAGGGGAGGAGGAGGAGGAGGAGCGGTGAGGAGAGGAGGAGGTGGAGGAGGAGGAGGAGGAGGAGGAGGAGGACGGAGGAGGAGGGGAGGAGTTGAGGAGGAGGAGGAGGGAGGAGGAGGAGGAGGAGGAGGAGTGAGGAGGAGGAGGGGAGGAGGAGGAGGGGGGCGGAGGCGGAGGAGGACGAGGAGGACGGGGAGGAGGACGAGGAGGAGGAGGAGGAGGAGGAGGAGGAGGAGGAGGAGGAGGAGGAGGAGGAGGCAGGTGAGGAGGGGGAGGCTGGATGAGGAGGGAGGTGAGGAGGCAGGAGGCAGCAGGCAGGAGGCAGGAGGCAGTGGGGCGTGGGGGAGGGGCGAGGGGAGGAGTGAGGGAGCATCGGGAGGAGAGGCGTGGGGAGAGGGAGGAGGCAGCCAGCGGAGGGAGAGGCGGGAGGAGCTGGAGGGGGGGAGGAGGGCGGAGGCGGCGGGTCGAGTCGGAGAGCCCGCGGCGGCACCCCATACGGGCCGCAGGGGGACGCGCGTGGGAGCCGGACGGACGCGGGCGGGGCCGCGGAGGACCCACACCGCCCGGGGTAGCGGGCGGGGCCCGAGGGCAGACGGAGAGCAGTCGTCTTCGTCGTCCGTCGTTCGTCGTCGTCGTCGCTGTCGTCGTCGTCGTCGTTTTCGTCGTCGTCGTCGCCGTCGTCGACGTCGCTGTCGCTGCCGTCGTCGTCGCCGTCGCCGTCGTCGTCGTCGTCGCCGTCGTTGTCGTCGTCAAGCTCTTTGCAGCCTCGGGGTGCCTTCTGGCCAGGTCAGTTCTCGGCCGTGCTCCAGCCTCGGGGGTGCTGTGTTCCGCAGCTGCGCCCAGCCGGGAGCGCCTCGGGGGCGCCGGCGGGATGGCCCCGGAGGGCTGCTGGAGGGCCGAGTCGCAGCCCGAGATCCCCAGGGGGGATGCGTCAGCTCGGGGGGAGAAGGTGCATCCGCTCCCCAATCGCCCGTTGATCGCCGACAGGGGGCCCGACAGCCCACCTCCCGCGGGGGCGCGAGGGGAGACCGCGCTTCGCGCACCGCGGCCTCGGCCAGAGCGCTTGCCCTTCTCCCAGTGGGCGGCGCGAGGGCGCGAGGGTCATCGAGCGCATCGCGTGGCGCGAGGGCGCGGAGTCGGGCGACGGGGGAGGCCAGTTGCGACGTGTGCTGGCCTCCTGCCCCGCCGCGCGCCTGCTGCCCGTCCTCTTCCTCCTCTCCCCGTCAGAGGTGATGGAGGTGGCAGAGGAGGAGCTGCCGTCGCAGGAGGAGAGGAAGAGGAGGAGAAGGAGGAGGGGGAGGAGGATGAGGAGGGGAGGAGGAGGAAGGAGGAAGAGGAGGGGGAGGAGGATGAGGAGGAGAGGAGGATGATGAGGAGGAGGAGGAGGGTGAAGAGGAGGAGGAGGAGGAGGAGGAGGAGGAGGAGGAGGAGGAGGAGGAGCTATCGGAGGTGGAGGAGGCGGTAGTGTTTGTCTGTGCTTGTCCTGGCGATCTCTTCCGCCGTGAGCATCCAGGCTCTATGCGCTGCACTTGCGGGGGGACTACGCGCGCGCGCGCGTGAAGCACCCCGGCTGACGCTGTGGGCGGAGCGCCCCTATGCCATGTCAAAGGAGGTATAGTGGCGCACGGCGGCCGCACTCCGGTCGCCATGAAGGAAACGGGTGCCCAGGGACACGGTGCCCGCAGTCTTTTCTCCGTTGTCGACCTCCTGGGGCCCTCCACGGGCCCTGGGATTGAGAAAACGACTCAGGATGATGAGTTGGCCCTGGGGCCAACAAGGCCCCAGGGTCTAGGACCCGTCTCATTCATGCTGAATCGGCCTCCTGGCTTGCTGGCCCAAGGGGGCTGCTGCAGGCGCTGACTCCTCACTGGCCTGCGCAGAGAGCAAGATGTCCAACGGAGGGAGCCAGGACAAGAAGGGGATACCCTTCCCTCAGCACCACGGCCGCATCCGCCCCGACGGCCAGAACGCACCCCAAGAGGCCCGTGGAGCAGCGGCAATGGGTATCTTCCTGTTTCCCATCTTGGAGGGCCAAGCCTACCTGCGTCTAGAAGACCAATATCTGTGGCCGATGCCAAAGGCCGTTCTCACGTCCTAGCCAAAAGCGTCTATGGGACACGTTGGGTGCCGTGACGCCCATGCGCACTTTCAGGGTGGATGCGTCTGTGGACAGCGTGGCCGTTGCGTTCGGCGGTGTGCAAGGTCGGAGAAAGGCTAGATCCGTCTGCGGTATGCTCCTGCTCCAGTACTCCTACTCCCATCCCCCCCCCTCCCCACCTTCGCCCTCCCCAGTCTTTCAGAAGGGAAAAAACACAGAGACACAGTCAATCGTCGACTCCCCAGGAAAATATGGGGAACATGTGGGAAGTGGGGGGGGGACAACCACCCAGAACGCATGGGACACTAGGGGGAGTCCTGTCATCTGTGTCTCTCCACCCGCGTGCCCCAGGGCCCCTTTCAGTCCTGCGGGCCCAGGCCGCCGCCCGCCCCGGCCCCCGAGCGGTGGGTGCCTCGGGCGAGCGAGCGGGAGGAGGCCGGGGCCCTCCGTGCAGCATCAGGTTCCAGGTCTCCCAGATGGGGTCGAAGTAGATGGGGTCGGAAGACCGCGTCGCATCCCCGATGCATCGGCGGTGCGGCTCGATGTGGAGCCCAGACTCCTCCGCGCCGGTGCCGGCGATGCACCGCCGAAATCGCCGATGCATCGGCGGTGCGAGACAATCCGTCGACCGCATCTACTCGGACCCCACCTAGCAGGCCTCTATAGGTCATGCAGACCCGCGTGGCCCTTCGGAGGAGGGGGAGGGGCGTGATCAGAAGCACGATGGGGAGGCGGTCGCCGAGGGGCCGCCACGATGTGGCAGGGGACAGCGTTGGAACCGCTTGCGCCCGCCAGTCAAGCTTCCGCCTGATTGTCGACAGTTTCGTGAGGCTCTCGCTTGCGCGTGCCGATCCTTAGCAGCATCAGTGTCTGAGCGTTTGAGTGGCGTGTGTCTTTTGATACCGACTGGCGTTGTATTTTTCCAGGTATGCTGTGATTTGCCTGGTCCTTTCAGAAGCCCGCTCGCCGAGCCGCGCTTTCGGGAATTCCTCGGTTCCAGTTCCTGTTTGGACGCCATGGCCGAGGACCCGTTATGAAGTGGCTTAATTGTGAATGTGTTTTCTGTACTGTTCCGCCTCATCCCTCTATCCATGATTTTTTCTCCTCCTGTTCGTGCGCATCCTCCTCCTCCTCATACGCGTGCTCCTCCTTGACGGCATGCGCGCATCGCTGGCAGCAGCGGTCGTGATGTTGCGTTGCATTGCCCGCATCCACAGCAGACGCGACGAG